GAAAGAGAGTTTTGGAGTATTCCTGATAGAATGTGGTGGGAATTATCTGGCTACCCTAAAGACTATTTGATTAGAGTGCGCCCTCTCCCTCTCTCTCTCTCTCTCTCTCACACACACACACACACACACACACAGAGATGACAGCAGTGATGTTACTGCTTCATTAATACAGTAAGCCCCATCTTCTCTACACAGAGGCCAAACTAAGGACATGGGAAGAAAGAATATTTTTGCTCAGTATAACCAAGTACAGATCAGGTGGTTAGCTGTGTTGGTCTGAAGCAGCAGAACGTTGCCCTGACTGATCTGTCCTTGAATAAATTTTGAGTCCAGCAACACCTTTAAGACCAAGAAAGTTTTATTCTGGGTATAAGTTTCTGTGTGCATGCACACTGTTGGTCTTAAAAGTGACACTGGACTCAAACTTTGGCTGATTCTGCGTTGGCTTTTCCCTTCATTGTTTTACCAAACCCACATTGGAACAGAAACTCCCGTCTCTATTACATGCTGCTTTCACTTCCTTTGATCATCAGATTTAATTGTAGCCTCCACTAGGGTTGCCAAGTGTACTTACCCTTGGCAGTGGGGGAGCCTTGCTGGGCTTCGGGAGCTCTCGTAGGGCGCGCGTGAAGTGACGTGCTACATCGCTCACGTTGGAGGCGTAGCCCAGATCGTCGGGGGGGAAACCATATGGTTTTCCCCCCGACGATCTGGGCCACGCCCCCAACGTGAGCGACGTGGCTGCGTCACCTCTGGTGATGCAGCTTCGGGGGCGGAGTTCCCCCCGGGGCCGATTCCGCCACGGCGAAAATCGGGCCTCCAAAGCGGGGGTTTCCCCACCCCCCACGCCCACTTGGCAGCCCCAGCCTCCACATTCCATGCCGCTTTCGCTTTCTTTGATCATCGGATTTTATTGTAGCTTTTGCATAGATTTATGGGCGTTTTATGGGTGTTCAGGGGTTATTTTGCAGTCAGTACAGTGTTGCCCTGAGGTATTTGAATGTGGTTTTGAGATGCACTTTTTCCTCCCAGTTGAGAAAATGTGGAGCGAATGCTAGATGTAGAATCAGCCTTTGTTCAAGGACAGGTCAGACAGTAATCAGCATTAAGGACTTCATACCTAGCTTGGTGAATAGCCTCTACCCATTCGTCTCCATCAACTTCCTCGTCACAACGGAGCTCAAGTGGTTTCTGCCCTTCATGGCCAAAGAGGACAGTAAAATATGTCTGTAAATTGTAAAGGAAATAGAGTTATCTATATATCTATGTAACAAAAGGCTATATATCTATATATCTATATCAGAATATAAAAGAAAATGAACTACAAATGTTTATTATATTACTAATACTATTAAAGCAAACATATAAATTCTGGCAAAGGATTTAATTGATATGAATTGCTGACCTAAAGACTAAACTCCTGTCTATAACATTTCTATAACATTTATAAAATGTTTCATAGATGGCATTGGTCCCCTCATAAAAAAGCTAAATGTTATCCAAATGTATTGAGCAACTGTTGGAAGTGTAAGAAAAATTTCAGAACATATTTTCATATGTGGTGGGTGTGTGAGAGAATTCATAAATATTGGTTAAGAATACAAAAGATTATTTGGGAAATATTAGATATTAATTTGCCATTAGAATCCAAGATTTTTTAATTGAATATGGTGCCGGAGGGACATAATAAAGTAAACAATCATATGATAATATACATATTAACAACAGCCAGAATATTATTGGCAAAATATTGGAAATCTGGAAAACTACCAACAAAGGAAGAACTAGTTCAGAGATTAATAGATATGGCAGAGATTGACAGATTGAGCCTGTTATTACAAAGAAAAGACGAAGAAATGTATTGGGGACTTTGGTCAAGGGTGTATAATTGGATACAAAAAAGAGGGAAATGATAAGACTCTCACTATTGTTTATTGTAAGCATAATGTTTGTGTAATATTGATAAAACCTTAAATAAGATTATTTTAAAAAATGAAAAAAAATTCTATAACTTAATACTACTCTATACAGTCATGCGGTACATAAACATCTGAGGAAGTACTACACACTATTGTTTATCTGGGGGGCAATTCACATGTGATAGATTCCCTGCATAAACAACTCTTCTGTGTACACACTACCACCAATTAAGACATCCCAGTGCATGCACATAGAGCAAGATATTTGTGTATACACTTGCCCTATGTAAGTGAACACATACAGTATGTAGTAAATCACAAAACCACTTAGCTGAATAAAAATCCATATACAATAAATATTATTGTCACCTCTGAGTTATTAACATCTTTACTGAGAAAAACAAATTAACTGTATTGCCTATTGAAGATGCACAAGACAGGAGTCAGACAGGCCTCTTTGGGTGAAAAATCCACACAGCAATAGGTGTCGCAAGCAGGTATCTGGAGTGGCGGCACCTAAATTCTTTAAATAATGTCAGTCAAATGCTTGTTCCAGATTCTGTTGGAAGTGAGAGCACAACTATAATACTTGAACCTCATCTAGACAACAAAATAAGATGCTTATATGCAGACAAATGTATCCAGGCCAATATCTCATTTGTAAGGAAACCCTAACAATTAAATAGTGAGTTACAAATGTATAAGAATTGTGAGTCATTCTAATATCTGTGTGGTGCATAATCATAATAATTATTCTATACCTTCCAAGAAGATTCTATCATCCAATCCTATGTCATGGTTCCACAAGTACATTAGTATACCCTAATTGCATGTTTCTGGTTTTAAGAATTTAGGGCACAACCCAGCCAATTAATTTTGGTGGTAAGTTAGGCACATGCCTGCATTCTTTTCATTTCAAGTAAATGGATTTTAACATCCTTGACTATCAGGACAACCTCTTATCTTTAATAAAATATAAAAAATGGTGGACCACATGCCAAGGCTGGAAGGTTCTAATCTCAGCCATAAAGAACAATGAATCACAAACATTCTGGGAGTTGATCAACAGAGGTCTCACTGGGGTAGCTAGAATTCCAGCATGTATCGCCCCCAGAATCTGGGAAAGGTATTTCACCTCTATTTTTGCTGTGACCCCTGGCTTTGAGCTCCAAGGGCATCAGAATGAACTGCCTCAAACCAACTCCTGGCCTCCAGTTTCATCTGAGACAGTGAATCTTCTAATTATGCAAATATGTTCAGGCAAAGCCCCAGGCCCAGATTTAATTCCAGCAGATCTCCTAAAGGTAAATCCCACCTGGTGGAGTAGAGCCCACTCTTCACTCAAATTAATGAATCATTCCCCAATCATGGAAGCATGCAGTGATAGTTCCAATACACAAAAAGGCTCAAAAACAGTTCCTACTAACTATAGGCCTATAAACCTGCTTTCAGTAATAGGCAAAGTGTATGCAGCTTTTTAAAATAATAAACTGGATAGAAATGGATAGAAACAGAATCCATAATTCACCCTGAGCAAGTGGGATTTAGAAATGGAGTTTCAGCCTTACACCATTGCGTAGTACTGTATCATCTTGATGATAAATATTCTTCTTATTTAAAAGGTTCCCTTCATGCAGCATTCATGGATCTCAAGGCAGCATTAGACTCAGTCCCCAGATGCCACCATTGGGCCAAATTGTCTAAAACATCTCTAGACAAGAGACTTCTACTGCACAAATTCGTTGTGGAGTAGATGGACAACTTACAAATACCATTCATCTCTCCAGGGGCGTTAAGCAAGGATGCTTATTAGCCCCCACACTTTTCAATCTTTACATAAATGATATAGGTTCCATATATTTAAAAAATAGCCTGTCACGTACCCATAGTAGCGGGACATGAAGTACCTATATTACTTTATGCAGACGATGCGGTGCTGCTATCCAGATCAGAAGTTCGTCTACATAAGCTAGTAAACACTTTTGCTGATTACTGTATCCAAGAGGGATTGATGATTAATTATGAAAAATAAAAAATAATGTGTTTTTTTTCAACAAACCTAATTTAAAACAAAGAATATGGAAAGTTAAGGGTGGGAAGAGAAAACAAGTGTCTCATTTCAAATATTTGGGTATAGTGCTTAGCTGCAATCGCCATTGGAAACATCATATAAGAGCAGCAACTGAAATTGCCAAAGCAAATTCTAATGCCCTCCTTAGGTTCTACTATTTAAAAGATGGCCAGTATGTTCCGATGGCCATTACAGCTTTTAATGCGAAAGTTACTTCCCAATTTTTATATGGGGCTGGTATCTGGATCGAAGAAATTTCTGAATCATCAGATCAGATCCTTCTCCAGTTCCTGCGTAGAATTGCAGGAGTCACTAAATGTGTCACAGGGACAGCACTCAGAGAAGAATTTGCACAATGTTCCTTTGAGTCGAGAGCCTGGAAGGCCACCTTTAAATTGAGACTGAAAGTTCTTTATATGACACCAAATGCCCAAGGGGGTCTTCTTTATTCTTTAAATGAGGATAATTATAAATATACATGGGCAAAACATATAGATAACAAGCTGGAGAGGATTGGTCTTGCCCCTACAGTGCTTAACAATATAAACTATCAAGAAGCACTAAATTTGATTAGATTGAGGGTGACAAACATTGACCGACGCAGCACTTCAATTCGTGCTAGGCGAGTATGCTCCAATTCTGTCTTAGGGATTGTGCCACCTAAGAATTCCCTCATATATGAGCTTCATAAAGTAACACACAGTTGGGCAGGGTTCACATGTATAAGTTGAACAGTAAGTGTATTCTCATTCAGGGTAGGTGTAAAATTCCCCCATGAGTAAACGGAACAGTAGATAGTGCTCTCTTGTAAATACTTAAAAGTAGTAGGATTCCCCCATAAACATGAAGTAAAAACATCTTTGGCATCCAGACTGTTACGAAGGCAAAAGGCAGGAAACTTCAGACGGTATGCCAAATTTAACCAAACATTGTGTGAATAATCGCCTTCAAATGAATGTAAGTGTACCTGGAGAACAAAAACATTGGAAAAGGAAAACAGAAGGAATCTAAGATAAGTTCCCAATTTACAACAGGATTATACCAGGTAGATAAGTCAGGATAGCTTCTAAAATTAATGGGTGACCTATCAGGTCTCAGGAAACCTCTGGGAGTTATATACTGGGCATACCAACAGTAAAAACACTCATACCCTCGGTCACCGCACCATTCCTGTCCATGTGTAGTACTGATGTCTAGAAAAGATCTTTCTTCAGGCTCTTGCACGTGGCCCTAGATTTATATATGTCTTCATGCTTGCTAGGTTGAATGTATTTCCAACTGCAGAGCTAAGTGGCTGTTTTGGTAAAAAAAAACAAAACAGTATTCAAATAGATTGTGCGATTGTGGATCAGGTGCAATAGAGACCTTAGATCATCTTTTGTTATTTTGCCACCAGTGGATTGATGCCACAACCTGTTGGATTACTCCTATTTTACATAGACATCACCTCCCTATGGAACCTTGGGTGATAACCATACTGCTAGCAGATGAGGACTCTGAAACTACTCATTTGGTGGCAAAATATCTATCGATAGTGCTATTTTTAAAGCGGCTTTGAAATGCTGTAGGTAGTTTTATGTATACAAATGTTAACATTTTTAAATTAATTTCCATAATATCATGGGATTTTATAGAGTTTATGGAAGTTTATAAAATGTTGTCTATTAATATTGTTAATAAGTATGTTTATTAGTTTTATTGTAAAAATGTTTGGTCTAAATTATCTTGTCATTATATGTAATGTGTTTTATAGTAACTGTTTGTACGTTTGGCTTAATACCTCTGGTCAATTAAGCTAATAAATGAAAGGAAAGACTATCAAGACAACCTCTTATCCTGGAAGAGGGGCTGCAGAGCCCCTATACAAGCAACTGTGCTGCCATCAGAGGCAAAGCAGCACCTGGCTCCTCCTTGCTTGGTCCTCAGGATATTAAAGAATTCTCACCCATCCTCGGAGGAGGGGTGAAAAATTCACTCAGCAACTTGCAGAAATATTGAGTATGACGGGGGAGCAAATACAGTATTTTTAAAAATTATTGTAAACTGCTTAGAGGACTTCAAGGCCAAAAAGACATAGATAGCTCACACATATCTTTTAATGTTCCTGTTTTACTATGTACTGTTTTGAGCAATGAAGAAAAACAGTATAAAACTATAGGAAGTAAATAAATTGGCTTTAGGACTGTTAAGGACATAACCTTATTTAACAAAACTATGGCCCCGGTCACACGGGCCGT